GGTGAACTGGCCAGGTGCTAGCGGGTTACAAGGTTATTATTAAGCCGCCAGTATAAAGAATGGCGGGTCAGTGGTGTATGGATTCGAGATTGTCAAAATCCTATTAAGTGTTGGGATAAACAAGTTTCACAGATCATGCCCATAATTTTGGATCTATGACAGTTCAAGAAATGAAGAACAATTGCTAAACCTAAGGTACAGTAGTGGAAAAGGTGGCAAGTCGTGCTTGGATTCCGAAGAAAAGGGGATCTACACGAGATGCAAGATAAGGGCTAAAACTGTTACTGCCCCACGTTTACTTCATTTTTGGATTGAACTAAGTTCTAGAAAACAGAAAGTGGATGAACTTGAGAGAACCACGATGATAGGATGATGAACTACATGAACTACAATGACCTAATGTGGAGATGAAGTAGAAAAGGAGGAATACCTGACGAGGTTAAAGAAGAGCGGGGGTGCGCCACAGTTATCTGGTCCGGTTAGGTTGATGCAGTGGCCTTCATCGGAGTCGCTGGTGAAGAATGGTCGGAGCGGCGGAGCTCTTGTGCGGCGGAGGTTGCGAGGAGGAAGAAGAAGTGGAGGCAAAAGGGGTAAAAGTGAGAAAGGACCCCCCCTATGCCTATTTATAAGGGAAAGAGTGGAACAGTAAAATGGCAGGCGCGGAAATCAAGGAGACGTCATGATTATCTCAACGTTGGAGGCGCCTCGATTCTCGAATGACCAATTAATGTATAAAGATCCGTTGTGATGTCATAAGATTTTTCTGATTCATATCGCATGACGTCACGACGGGTTACAACGATTTGTTCAAAGTTGAGCATTGGAAAGAAGACTCGCCAACCAGAAGTAGTGAAGATTGACACGGACAAGTTCAAATCAATCTGGGGCCTAATGTTGGGGATATAATCCCGCGGTGTGTGCTACTTCTTAAGCATGCATTGGTTTTTCCCTTGAAGAGGAAAGGGTGATGCAGCAAAGTAGAGATAAGTATTTCCCTCAGTTTGAGAACCAAGGTATCAATCCAGTAGGAGACAACGCACAAGTCACCGAATACCTGCACAAACAATCAGACAACTTGCACCCAACGTGATAAAGGGGTTGTCAATACCTTCACGGTTACTTGCAAAAGTGAGATATGATAGAGATAGATAAACAATAAAGTAAATATTTTTGGTATTTTTGGTTTATAGATCGAAAAGTAAAGATTGCAAAGTAGTAAATCAAAAACTAATATTGTAGATTAGAAACTTATATGATGGAAGATAGACCCGGGGGCCATAGGTTTCACCAGAGGCTTCTCTCATGATAGCAAATAATACGGTGGGTAAACAGATTACTGCCGAGCAATTGATAGAAAATCGCAAAGTTATGACGAGATCTAAGGCAATGATCATGAATATAGGCATCACGTCCGTGTCAAGTAGACCGAAATGATTCTGCATCTATTACTATTACTCCACACATCGACCGCTATCCAGCATGCATCTAGAGTATTAAGTTCATAAAGAATGGAGTAACGCATTAAGCAAGATGACATGATGTAGAGGAATTAACTCAAGTAATATGATGAAAACCTCTTTATTTATCCTCGGTGGCAACAATACAATACAATACATGTCTTGCTGCCCCTACTGTCACTGGGAAAGAACACCGCAAGATTGAATCTAAAGCTAAGCACTTCTCCCATTGGAAGAAAAACCAATCTAGTTGGCCAAACCAAACCGATAGTTCGAAGAGAATTACAAAGATATCAAATCATGCATAAAAGAATTCAAAGGAGATTCAAATAATATTCATAGATAAGCTGATCATTAATTCACAATTCATCGGATCTCGGCAAACACACCGTAAAAGAGTATTACATCGAATAGATCTCCAAGAACATCGAGGAGAACATGGTGTTGAGAATCAAAGAGAGAGAACAAGCCATCTAGCTACTATCTATGGACCCGTAGGTCTGTGGTAAACTACTCATGCTTCATCGAAAGGGCAATAGAGTTGATGTAGAAGCCCTCTGTGACCGAATCCCACTCCGGTAGGACGCCAAAAAAGGTCCCTAGATGGGATCTCACGGGTACAGAAGGTTGTGGCGGTGGAGAAGTGCTTTCGTGGATGCCTCTGTTGGTTTGGGGATATATGGGTATATATATGCGAAATAATTAGGTCAGGAGGTGCATGAGGGGCCCACAAGGTGGGGGGTGCGCCCTACCCCCTGGCGCGCCCTCCGTCCTTGTGGCCGCCTTGTGGCTCCTCCAACTTCATTTCCAAGTCTCCTGCTTGTCTTCTGATCCAAGAAAAATCATTCTGAAGGTTTTATTCCGTTTGGTATTCCTTTTCTGCGAACTCAAAAACAGGAGAAAAATAGGAACTGACACTGGGCTCTAGGTTAATAGGTTAGTCCCCAAAATAATATAAAATAGCATATTAATGCATATAAAACATCCAAAAACAGATAATATAATAGCATGGAACAATAAAAAAGTATAGATACGTTGGAGACATATTAGTGTGACCCGCCCAGGAGGGGCCGGGTTACACTGTTAGCGACTCAAGAATGAAATGCTTAGATGGGCATGAAGAAACATGAAGACTAGAGGCGGTTTAAGAGGCGGGCCTGTTAAAAGCCCAAAACCCGGAGGTGTGAGCCGCCCGATGGTGACTTGTTTAGTAAGGCAAGGCGACTTAGAAACCGAGTTGGTCACGTTGTGTGATCCAGCTTGGACTCTTGTAAGCCCTGGGGCTCGACCTGTGTATATAAAGGTGAGATCCTGCGGTTGGTTAACTCAAGAAACAATTGATCGATAGCTAGGTCAAGCGATTCCGCCCCCTTGTAATCGATACCCAATCAATACAACACAGAGTAGGACGTAGGCTTTTGCCTCATTGTGAGGGGCCGAACCTGGGTAAACCTTGCGCCCTTTGTCCCGTTCAACCCCTCAAGCTAACCTAGGTTGCGATGGATCCGCACCTAAGTCCTTTCACAAGGGCATCTACCGTGACAAAACCACGTCACTTCTTTTGATCATGACATGCTGAAGGGTACGATAGGTGTAGTCTTGAGAGACGACAAAGGTAGGTTTATTGCGAGAGGAAATGGAAAGATCAAATATTGTACGGATGTTCTAATGGCAGAAGCTTTAGCCCTCAAATTTGGCGTAACATTGGCACAAAGGGCGGGATGTAATCGCCTAATCATCAACTCAGACAATCTGAAGGTGATTGAGACCATGCAGGACGGAGGACAATCAGCGGGTGCAGCGGCGACAATATTTGATGACTGTTTTCACTATGCATGTGATTTTGTCGTGACCAGATTCGAACACTGTAATAGAGAGGCAAACAAAGTAGCTCATGAACTTGCTAGATTAGCTAGATTTTCTGTGACTTCGGATTGGTTTGAAGAGCAACAACAACGACGACAACAACAAAGCCTTTAGTCCCAAACAAGTTGGGGTAGGCTAAGGATTGGTTTGAAGAGCCTATCAATGAAATTGTAGTGATCCTCACAAACGATGTACTGATTATTTCTAATGAATAAAGTCTTGATTTAACTAAAAAAATAGCAATAGCAATTGTATGCATGGACAAAGCCATGTGCAATCTCCCCACATCCTAGCAAATCTTGTATAACTCTGGCACTAATGTCTCCGAGTAAGTCATAAAAAAGTGTTTTAGCATTTTTTGGGGGTTGTTCCTCCTATTGAAGGACCAACATGTCAGCAAAATATGTATTTTCTCAAAACAATGGTGTGTAGCACCCTGCTTGTATAGGATTTCACAAACAATCAGCATAACATGTGCCATTTTTTGTTTGCCAACAACATGTTTCCTCCTCCCCATAAGGCGACTCACAAACGATTAGGTTATCCCCTCACCCCGTTGGCGTCGTCTCCTGTCTGCCATGCCTTTAATGGCCTTTGTGGAGGTGTCATAGGCCTCACTCCCCCACCACCGATGGGAGGGACCACACTCGTGTTCTTGTTAGGTACAACGTCTTGATTGAGATCGTGTGGCGGCGACGATGTCTCTCAGTAGAGTATGAATAATGTCTCCCATGTCCGATCCTTATTTCGATAGTGCGTCTAGCATCGTCAGAAGACGTGTGGAGGTGTGTCTCCGTCGGATAGCACAAGATCCAATCGGTGTCGGTCTTCGGTGGATTTGTCTGGATCTAGTATTCGATCGTGTGGTTACAAGTTTGATCCTTTCGATCTATTCTCCCTTCCGATCTATTCTCTTTCATTGGTGATGGTTGTTGCTCCGGCACACTGGTCCTGTGAGGTTGTCACGACGATTCTTCCCTGACTATCTACTACAAAAAGGTTTGCCCGGCTCCAATGAGGGAGGGGTGATGACAGCAACGCGCCTTCGACTTGCTTCAGTGCTTGTAGTCGTCGTTAGGTGGTCCACAGACTTGGTTGTGATTTTTTTACTTCTAGTGTTCCTTGTATTGCTATGACTGGTTATGACTAGATCAAAAGTTTCTTTTGCAAAAGAAAAACACCCTAATTGCAAAAATAATAATGAACAAAGCTCTTTTTTTACCCGCAAAAAAACTCTTTTTTCAGAAAACTCTTTTTTTTAAGGAGAGGGTCCTTGCCCTGGAGCCTAGACTCAATGAAAAAATTCCTTTGGTGTCAACCAAATGACATCTCATTTCATATTCCTATTCATAGGATTTGAGATACATGTCATCTCATCTTCTACAAAATTCCTATTCCTACGATAATTTCATCCTATGAATCAAAAAGACCCTAGGCTCGGGAGACGACAGGGATTGCTTGGCCCATCCGTCCTCGCCCATAATAAATGAAAGGAAAAGACCCAGCCCCTCAAAAAAATAACACCCATATAACGGTGCCGTGAACTATCCACACGACCGCGTGGCGGTAGGAATCGTCGCCTTGTCACCCAACCATCCCATATCCGACCCATCCCTTGTCCCAAACCGTCGAACCCTAGCTCGCCTTCGCCTCCAATCTCCCCACCTCGCCGTCGCCATGGGCAAGAAGCGGAAGCTCGAGCCGAAATTCACCTTGGCAGCAAACTCCCCCGCAGCTAAGGCTCCAGCTGCCGCAAAGATCGCCGAGCCGGCAGCTCCTCTCCCCCAGCCCGAAACCCTAGCCGAGTACTACCCCACTTCCTCCCAAACCGTGGCCCAGGAGAGCGGGTCCATCGCTGGGGGCGCGGCGGTGAAGCAGGAGGTGGGCGGCGAGGAGGACGAGTGGGAGGAGGTGGAAGAGGAGGTGGAAGAGGAGGAGGAGGAGGAGGAGGTCGAGGAGGAAGAACAACAGCAGGCGGAGGAGGGGGACAGCGACCCCGCCTCGATCCAGGCGCTTCTGGAGGTGTTCCCCAAGGAGCAGCTCGTCGAGCTCCTCCGCGACGCCGCCGTCCGCCACCGCGACGTGCTCGAGTCCGTCCGCCGAGCGGCCGACGCGGATCCAGCCCAGCGGAAGATCTTCGTCCACGGCCTCGGATGGGACACCACCGTGGACATCCTCACCGAGGCTTTCCGCCCTTATGGTGAGATCGAGGATCTCAAGCTCGTCTCAGACCGTAACACGGGCAAGTGCAAGGGCTACGGGTTCATCCTCTTCAGCCGCCTTTCTGGCGCCCGCGCGGCCCTGCTGGAGCCCCAGAAGAAGATCGGCAACCGCACTACCTCCTGCCAGCTCGCTTCTTTGGGCCCTGTCCCACCTGGCGGTGCGGCCAACAATCCTATGTTGGCTACAGCTCCAGCTCCGGCTCCAGCAGCCTTGATACTACCGCCAGTTTCTGAGTACACACAGCGGAAGATTTTTGTTAGCAATGTTGGCGCAGATATCGACCCACAGAAACTGCTGCAGTTCTTTTCAAAGTATGGTGAAATTGAGGAGGGTCCTCTTGGGCTCGACAAGGCAACCGGGAAGCCAAAGGGTTTTGCTCTGTTTGTTTACAGGACCCTTGAGAGCGCCAAGAAGGCGCTCCAGGAGCCGCACAAGTCATTTGAGGGTGTTATGCTGCACTGCCAGAAGGCAATTGATGGGCCAAAACCCAACAAAGGAGGAGGATATGGTGCCACAACTACAAGTGGGAGGAAGGGCGCTGCTGGCTATGGTGCTAGTAGCCATTCTCTGCCTGGTAGTGTTGGTGCTGGTTATGGGATGGCATCTCCAGCGAGCCTGGCTTCAATGCCTGGGTCTGTACCTGGTGGTCCAGGGATGAATCCTGCACTGGGCCAGGCTTTAACAGCTTTCTTGGCCACCCAAGGGGGAGGGTTGGGTCTGAATAACATCCTTGGAGTTGGTCCTAATAGTTCAGGGATGCCAAATTCAGGGTCTTCTGGAGCTCTTGGTGGTGGCGGTGTACCTGGAATGCCTGGCAGTTATATGGGAGGCTATGGGGGTGGTGGCGGGTATGGTGGTCCACCGGGAGGTCCAGGAAGAAATTACATGGGTCATTAGGTAAGATTTGGTTGGTCAATGTGTCCTAACTGTAGAAGCTACATATAGTTCTGAACTTCTGATATCTGATTTACGTCAAGAAATTACTTTCCTTATTTTTCTTATCCGTTAAGAAGTTAGCTTTGCATTTACAGTTTTACACCGGTATTAGTCTTGCATTTTTATTTACTTATTCTATCTTTTTTGTTTTTTCAAACCATTTTTTCTTAGCATAAGCTGAAATACTCTTAAGCATATGATAGTTCTAAGTTCTCTAATGTGCATTCTGATGAGATCTAGGTTGTGCCTGAATGCATTTGTCTAATTTGCTGCCTTACTGCGGTCCAATATGACAACCTGAACTACAAAATGAAGTTAATGCCTTCTATTAGCCTTTTGAAATTGTAGGTCATCTGTTAAGTAAGGAATCAGTACTTCCCGACAAATTGCTTCTTAGTTTTAGTGATGGTCCTTTCACATGTATTACATTTGTTGCAGAAGAGCTAGCCAAGCTAACATTGATCGACGTTGAGGTTTGAGAAATAAAACTAATATGCTTAAATACTAATAGGTTGGGGCTAGAGCGAAGGTGTTGAAAAATATGGGCTCTGTTTTAGTTTAATGATGCTTGGTTTATGTTTTGTTTGCCTTATTCGATCTTTGAAATTGGCCAAAAGATTCAAGGCTATGGCCTCGCAGTATCCTTGGTAGGTTTGAATGGGTCTCAGTTTGCAAGCAAATAATTTTTGGCAGGCCTTATCATTTTTTTCATCTCACAAACATTGTTTCACATGCATATGCACATTATACATAGCTTATATGCAGGTTTCAGTGCTTACATAAAGAAATGCTTATTTTAATTACTGCAAACCCTATACTATGAGTTATGCATTTATTTAACAGTACATTTTCTTCTTTTGCATAATCAAATTTTGTTTTAAGAGCTATTTCACTTATCTTTATCCATATTGCTATTTGACAGGATGCTTATAACTATTTTTCTGTGGCCAGATGATTCTACGTGTTCCTGCGTCGCACTTATAAACATGCTGTTTTAGGCTGCTTCTCGCAAGTTGCTTACTCTAGCGGTCAAAGTTTTCATAAGAACTTTGATTTCCTCAATCCTATGTTTTCAAAATTGAACAAATCTATGTACAATTATTTAAATTTTTGAAAAGTTACTAGTTGTCTTGTGACCCTATTGTAAAAGACTTTCTATTGATTTAAAGCACCGTGGAATTTTTACTGCATTTTATACAAGAATTTTCAGTCATTATTTTTGGCATTTGTTGAAACCTAATTTGTGTTACTAAAAAAAGTGCCATTTTTTTTGCTATCCTAATTTTCTTGTCACGGTGATACGTTTCTGACCAGAAATGTCGTGTGGATTTATTTCTGAACAAAAAGTTGAATACTGCTTTGTTTACAAAGTAAGCATTTGTTTATTTTGGCCAAGTTTATGATTACCGTGTGATAAAGTTGGTTAAGAAGAATCTTTGGCAGATCTTGGAAAATATCAATGTTGCAATTTTAGAAAAGAGGTTGCATTCTCAAATGCGTTTTTTGTCTATCTTGTCGTGCAGTCCAATTTTAGTTGTGTTGGTCTGAGGCCATGGTCGTAAGTACTAAACATGAGACCTTTTAGCAGCGATTTAGACTTTGGCCGTTGACTAATCTTTTGCCTGTGGGCTAGCTAGTAGTTGGAAGTAGGGGGAGGCTTGTTGTTATCGGAGAGGTAGGGCTGTTGGAAGGGTGGGAGGGGCTGGCTTGATTGAACCCTCACAGGAAGACAAGTGCTCATATCTTTGATGTGGAGGACTGCAGCAAAAGGAAGAGGAGGGAAGAAAAGATACAGTTCAAGGTGAGGTGACTAAGTTGCTTTACAACTGGTTAGCACACTCTTATGTTCTTCACTTTTCTGTGTGTGATGTTTTTTTGGGTTTAGTAGTAGAATTGAACTAGGAGCAGGCTGCAGCACACTCTTATATGTGTGTTATCAGTATGTTTAATTGGAAAGGTAGAATAGAACTAGGAGCGGTATTGGATAGTCACACTCTTATATGTATGATATATTATCATCTGTTTAATTTGTGTGTTATCAGTATGTTTAATTGGAAAGGTAGAATAAAACTAGGAGCGGTAATTGGATAGCAGAAATAGTCGCAACACTCTTATATGTATGACATATTATCATATGTTTAATTTTTACGTGTTTTTAGGAATTATGCACACTACTGAAGTCTGTGTGAGTACATAGAAATATGGCTTGTGGAATATAACCTGTTCCTTACCTAGTTTAAACATTGTGGTGGAACAATGAATAGGTGCCTGATAATTAAAAGTAATAGAGGTACATGTTTTGTTATCTCGAGCTTATCCTAGTGCTCCTCACAAACTATTACGAAGATGACGCCTGCATAAAATCTTCAATTTAATCACAATGAACTATTGTTCCATGTGAGTGACAAATATGCTTTTGTAAGATACAAGTAAGTCATAAATTTCGTTAGAGTATTCTTACCTATAAGAGCACATAGCAATTTTCTGATATAAAGTGTGCCTGATGTAATAGGTCATGATTCACTAAGCTGCGTGTTATCAGTTATCTGGCCCAAAGTCTTTATCCAACAAGTTTCTGTAAGTCGTGACGCGTCATTGCGCGTCGTTATCTTTCGATCACACGCCATATGTATACAACATTTGTTGTCAATTCTATCAAGGTTTGCACACAATTTATTGTAATCGGGAACGCCTTGTTGGTTCTGGCGCTAGCCAACCAGCCCACACCAGGTTCGATCTTGGGATCGACTGTTTCATGGGGAGTATGATTGTATGAAGCCCCTCACGTGTATGCCACTCGTGATTGCGATGTGAGTTCGTTTGTAAGTTCAGATGCTAAATCTGTATGCAGGCGAAGAAAAAAGAAAAATCAAATCAACGTAGTCGCTCAAGTCTTATCCTATTCCGGAGGGAATACGATAAAATTTCCTCGATGTAAATCAACGTAGTCGCTCCGTCTCTAGAGATGGTGATAAAATTTCCTCAATGTAAATCAACGTAGTCGCTCAGTCTCTAGAGATGGTGCTAACGAGTAATGTAAAAAATGTATAAACTCTGATATGGCTGCGAATTACTCCATCTGTTCCTGTCTTTGTCTTTGGAGAAATTCCACTATGGACCATATATATTCAGTTGTATGTGATCGATAGTGAATCTCTACAAACACTTCCATTTAAGAACGGAGAGAATAGTAAACTATTACTCCGTACTATCTAGAGATGGGGCCGTCAAAGCATAATTTCAAATAAATAGTAATAAACGACCAGCAAATATTTATACTCCCTTCGTCCTAAAATTTTTGTCTTAGATTAGTCTAGATACATATGTATCTAATACTAAAACATGACTTGATACATTCATATTTAAACAAATCTAAGACAAAAATTTTGAGACGGAGGGAGTACAATCTATAGTATCAAAATATAAGATGCTTCTATTATTCAAGAACTGCAAAAATGCCTTATACTCCTCCGTAAACCAATATAAAAGTGTCCATATATAGAGGTAGTATTAAGCATCCAACAAAAATATGTATAATACAATAATATTCAAAATTTTGAAAGCTTATCTGGAGCTACAATTTTGGCATCGGCTAGACAACTAGAATAGTCGTTTATGATAAAAAAAATCTTATCTTTTAGGCCCCGTTTGGAACAAGAAATTTTGCAGGAATTTCATAGGAATGGAATTCTTATAGGAATCCTTCCTTCACATTTTGGATGATTTTAAATATTTGCTCAAACCTTAAGCTTTCACTTTCTTTGTGAAATCCAATGCAACATGTGTATTTCTCCTCTTCCCTTTCTCTCCTAAAGAAACAATTCCTGCAAATGTGTGCTCCCTATGCCTCCTTCCCCACTTTCCTAGTGGATCGATCTTTATTAGCCATTTCATTTACTTCCCTAATTTGTATTTTAAGGCTCAACTTTTTTATCTGCGAAAAGGCCAAGTTTCTTTTGAGCGAACATGTTGTACGCCAGTGCATGAATCTCAAACCAAGATACGTGACAATCATTGTCCGCTTATATGCACCCATCTGAGCGAATTACAGCTGACGGCACTAAACGATTCACTCAAGATGACAATTTGAGCGAACACATCTGGGGTGCCAAATTCTGTTTCTACAATATGACAATTTTCACCAGTTTTGATGAAGACATGACTATTTTGGATACGATCAAAGATATTGCATACATGCATAATTGTCAGGTGATTTCTAGTGCAAACTATTCAATAATCTATTTATGTCATCCAGAACAAAAATACTTCACACACTTTTGTCTGTCTAATCGTAGGTGTATGGGACATTTGTACAATCCACATATGAAGATAAGGGAAAATGAGAAGTTTAGGTTATGTTCAAAAAGTCCTCTCACATCACTTTTGGGCCAAGAGAAGATAAGAGTCCAAGTCTCCCATGTTTTGATTCAGATTCGGACTACACAGACATACCTGACTCAAAACGCCAACATTTTTTCATACGGACTCCGAATTGGGTGATATTTTTTTTGTTGGAAAGTAGATTTCGTGCTCTTTCCAATCCAATTGGATTCACCTTCAAATTCGTCCGGAGCATTGAGATATCGACGAAACAATCTGACGCTGCAGTAGAATCCGAGTCAAACAACAAGTCCAAAGGTGTTGCATCACCTCCACTTGGGCCCATGAGCCTTGTACGACCTAGGGTTGGTTTTATGCTGCCTTGGAATGTCCTCTCACCTCCTTGGCCGCCACCCCTTGCTCCTATATAAGTAGATACATCTAGTAACTTTTTCCTTAGGATTTGTTTAGTTAAAAGTTAGCCATTGCAACTTCTTGTACTTCGTTTGTGTCCAACGACCAGACCAAGACTGCTTACAGATCCCCACCATTATCAATACTTCATATATATTTGCAATATTCAGATTGCTTTATCATATTCTTGCTCGTTCTTCGATTGCTTGCTGGAATAGACCTTCGTG